CTTGACTTCTAGAACCGGCCACGGTCCTCTATATGCAGGCAGTAACTTCTGCGAGATGTTTTCTTCCGGTGCAAACTCTTTTGCCTTGACCCAGACTAAGTCGCCTACTTGAAACTGTGATGGGCGACGGTGTTTGTTAGCCTGCTCTATCATTCTGTGTTGGGCCTTCCGTAGGTTCTCAACAACAGTGGCTAATTCCTTTTCGTGCTGTATCGCAAACTCTCTGGTACCGGGTGGTAATCTGTGAATCTGATCCCGGTTCAGTCCTTCGAACGGTCTGCGCGGTCTGAAGGACTTGTGCAACTCATTGGGGGTGCAGCAGGTGGATATATGCACGATGTTGTTGTATGCACTAGCTACCTTAGGCAACATCTCATCCCATTTAATCTGATCTGGTCTAATGTACATGCGCAGAACTTGCTGTAGGATCTTGTTCATCTGTTTTGTCTGACCGTTAGTCTCTGGGTGACGGCCGGACGACATTAACAACTTAGATCCGTAGACTCTCATTAGTTCTTGCCAGTTCTGGCTGGTGAAACGACTGTCCCTATCACTAACTATTAACAATGGGATTCCATTCTCACTAACCCAAAAGTCAAGGAATTTTTGTATTACCAAATTTGTACGTGCCTCTGCAGGCAAGGGAACAAAAACTGCATACTTACTAAAACGGTCGACTATGACCATGACTTGGCTCTTACCATGTCTGCTCTTGACTTGCGTGTCCATGAAGTCTATGGATACCGARTCTCCCGGTTGATCCGGAATAGGCAAGGGTCTGAGAAGACCTAGGGGCGCGCGTGTAGTAGATTTATTCCTCTGGCACACTTTACAACCGCGGACATACTCTATGCAGTCGTTCTTCATCCCTGGCCATAWGTACGCACGCATCAGATTGGCTAACGTCTTTTGCCAACCGAAGTGTCCCTCAGTATCGTGACATTCCCCTAGAATTAGACTACGAATCTCTTCGCTGTTGGGAACGCACAGGCGGTAAAACACATTAGTCTTCTCAAACAACAACCCGTCTGTAGTGCGGTAATCTGGTTCGGTCTCTGGGGTCTCTCTAACTCTCTTTAGGAGGTCAATATAGATAGGGTCCTGCGTATACGCTTGTTTCACTTTCTCCTACAGGTCTCTCCCTATATCCAGATAATGTACTACGGCTCCAAAGTAGTCTGATCTCCTACTTAGAGCATCCGCCACTACATTGAATTTGCCCTTCACTGGCTTGAGCTCAAAGTCGAATTGGTCTATCTCTGCGGCCCACCTAGTCAACTTAGGTGTCATCTTGGCCTAGGTCTTTAGCCAACAAAGTGTCTCATGGTCAGAATACACTTTGAAGTGCCTCCCAAGCAGATAGTGTTTCCAATGGTCTAAAGCCTGCCTGAGAGCGTAGAGTTCTCTCTCGTACGTGGAGGTAGCGACCTTCTCACAGGGCGTCCTCGCTGACATGAACTCTACGGGTCTATAGCCATTGTCGCCGTCTTGCTGCAACACGGCGCCTATCCCATACTGACTCGCGTCCGTGGTGACGACAAATGGCAAAGACGGATCTGCAACTTTGAGGACAGGATATTCTATTAACGCGTGCGTTAGCTTCTTGAGCGCAGACGTACATTCTTTGTCCCATTGCCAGATTGCCTCTTTCTTCAGCAACCTGCGCAAGGGAGCGGCGATAGTAGAGAAGTTTCTTACGAACTTCCTATAGTAGTTAGCTAAGCCTAGGAACGACCGGAACTCTATCAATGTGCGGGGCGCCGACCAATCTCTGATCGCCGTGATCTTGTTGTCCTCTGGCTTAATGCCATCTCCGTCCAACACGTGGCCCAAGTATAAGACTTGCGTCTTGGCCCACTCGCACTTCTTCGCGTTGATCTTGAAGTTAGCCTCTCTAAGCTTCTCCAAGACCTGCCTYWGATGACCCTGGTGCTCCTRGAGRRTCTTACTAAAGACTAGGATATCATCTAAGTAGACTACTACAAATTTATCTAACCATGGTCTAAACAGRTCATTCATACAACGCTGAAAAGTAGCTGGCGCGTTGGTTAGTCCAAAGGGCATCACTATAAACTCATAATGCCCATATCTAGTCCGAAACGCAGTCTTGTACTGATCATCAGGATGAACCTCTATCTGATGGTATCCGGACTTTAAGTCTATCKTAGAGAAATACTTACAACCCTGCACCCGATCTAAAAGATCGTCTATCCTGGGCAGCGGCTCAGCATTCTTCACGATGATCGCATTTAATCCCCTATAGTCTATACACATTCTCAGCTCTCCTTCCTTCTTGGGGACAAACAAAAYGGGTGCTCCAAAAGGAGACGAASTGGGCCTGATCCACCCTTTCTCAAGGAGTTCGTCTAACTRCTTGCGAAGCTCCTCTAACTCTCTAGGGGACATCCTGTAGACTGCACCCTTAGGTGTTCTACTGCCAGGCTCTATCTCTATCCTATGCTGGATGGGTCGCGGCACTACTCCTGTCGGCGACTCAGTCAAATCTTTGAACTCCTCCAGCAGTTTGGCAATTGTTGGGTCTGTGGAGTTATCCTTCTTCTGGCCCTCAATGACAGGTCTAACATACACCACAAAGACMTGTTCCTCTAACTGCTCCTTTCTTACTAATCGCGCGAACGCGGGAGCACTGAGACACCAATGCGCCAAGGTGTTATCTACACCGGACGCATGGAACAGRCSAGCAGTCTTCACTTYGCCTGACGGACCAGGGAGCCTACACTCATGCTCTCTCAGATGGAGTGTGGCCCCCGCTGCCTCTCCCCAATCCATTCCTAACACTACATCGAAAGGAAGGTCATCTCGTACGAGGAGAGTCAGGGAATGGAGAACTTTCTCCACCTTCCCATCCTTCTCTAGGCGAAAGTACGCCTRGACTCCCTCTACRTAGTCCTCAACGCGCATYGTRCGGTTGTCTGCGAGRACACTGACTATRGGGTCTAYTARCTTTTGGACCTTTAGTCMTAGYCTCAGCTTCTTCAGCGCCCTACGGCTRATRTAACTAYGGGTAGCYCSTGARTCTATAAGGGCCCCTACCCTACTCCTAAACACCTCTACATCTACCAAAATTAGTTGTCCTTTACTCTCCTTCTTCATTTTGGCCCAGGCTGGCATCCTCTCCTTTAATTCTTCTCCCACAACTGTGAGGGACGTGCCTAAGGAGACGCTTACACAGGCGGTCTCTCGACAACTATCTAGGCACGGGCCTGCAACCTCTGCCATAGGCTCATGTGGGTTGGGAGTGTCCTGTTCGCGCGCGCTCACTTCTCCACATGGCCTTG